TTTTTTTATTAATTGCATGCTGTTGTGCATCCTTCTCACAACTTTGTATCACTCGAGTAACAAGTACGCAGTAGTGTTATTCAAGATATTTAATTTCAGCCATGGGACATAGTCTAATCGTAGCATCTCCACAGGCAAAAAATGTTGGCCACAATTTTTTGTTTGCCAGATATATGTTTTATCCATATATGTAATACTTCTATTGGTAGTAAGCTAACATCTCAATGTGTAAGCATTCCGAAATCAAAGCGAGACACTCTAGTACTGTTTTTGTCAATGTATTGTGTACTTGAGTGCCGTTTTTGTAAATGTGTCGTGTACATGTTTATTTATAAACGTATGTGTTCCTTTTCTTTCGTACGTGTTTATTGATATATCTGTACTGTAGTGTTTTCGGACGGTACTAGCTCTTACTGCCAATATAGGAGTATTACATATATGGTTTTATCAGTGCACTTGCACAATACTCGCATTGGCAAATGCTCCGCATTGATTATTGCGAATGCGAAGTTAAAATTTATGCGGAAGCTCCGCGGTTGCGAATGTGAATGCGAATATTCGCAACAACCCTGATACATATGTTTGTACTTACATACATATACATAAGGCTATGTATGGTTTAACTGGAATAAATTGCCAAGTTTGTGTTGTTGTTTCGCATGTACATACATATAAGTTGCGTTCCCTAACTCGCAAGAAGCTGCAAGAATTTACCGGAATTCGCCAAAAAGCGTGCCCGTGATCGGTTCTCTGGCAAAGTGGGGGACAAATGGGAAGTAAAATCGGCCCTCTCTTTGTCAGAAGCTGCAAAATTTTACCCGAAGAATTTTTGCTGGTAAAATCTGGTAAATTATCAAACCATCAGCTATTCAATTTTGTCAAAACGAATTGGAATTTGAATAAGCAAAAACATAAGTATCTCTGCAGTTTTACGATATATTTATCGTGGCGAAGAAATATCAAGTTTTGTAATAATTTTTGTTAATTTTCCTGATAAAAAAAAGCTATGGCGTCTACGGTTTATTTGACAGTTTTACCAGTTTTTACCCGAAAAGCGTACTTTTTGGTTTTGCCCTCTTTCTCTGAGAGCAATTTTGCTTTTGACAGTTTTACATGTTTTATCCAGAAAAGTAGATGAACGAAACTATATTGTATATCGCTATTCTACCTAGTGTTATTTTCCCAGTCGGCTGCAATAGAATGAGCTGAGAAGGAGGAAGAAAATTAAAATTTTAGAAATTAACATAAGTTTTTATAAATTGCACTTGGTATTTGAAAAAAATTTCGCAAAAGAACGGCTGCAAAAAAATCTGAGCAGTTAAGCAATTGAAGCACTTCAAACATGATCGAATTGAAAATTTTGACATCTTGATGCAAATTCGTCGAATTTTTCTAAATATTTCATAAAGTTGGAACTTTAAACTGCGTGTGCTAGATTCAGAAAGATATAATTTATGGATAACTATACAAAACACCGATTTTTAAACCATTAATTGGTATTTTTTAGGTACAACTTTTAATGTGAACGTCCTTTTTGGCTTATATGTCATCTTGTTTATACCGATTCATAAAGCGCTTTGAAACAGTCCGCTGTTATCCAAAATGGATGCATAAACCAAATTTCAATACGCTATAAAATTCAAAAGTATATTGACACGAATTTGATAAATAAAACATATTTAAAGTCGATTCAAAAATTTCGGTGGGTGTTTCAATGCTCGACACTATCGTTTGTATGGGAGAAAATGCCTACCACCATCAGCAAAAAAATATATTAAAAATGAACTCTTTTTCTAGCCTAGGAAATCTGCAGTTTAACCTACTACAATTTAATGAGCTACAAATCTACATACTAGAGGTATACGCCGCCGAGCCACGCCGCCGTTTTTTGTCATTCCTCACGCGCCGCCGCGCGGCGGCGGCGGCGGCGTTCGGCGCCTAAGGAATTTTGTACAAAATTTTCATGATGTATGTACTAGAGGTTTACGCCGACAGGCATTGCGGCGGCGGCGTGGTCAACTTCAAAAATATTCGGCGGCGGCGGCGACGCCGCGCGTCTGGAAACGCCGGCGCTACTGCTCATAAGGTAGATTTCAAAGAGCCATGAGGCTACTAATCTTATCATTTCTACTCGACAGCGTTAGGCATTCACCATGCCAATTATTCTGTTATTATAATTCTATTTATTTCATTATTGAATTAGTTTTAAATTTAAATATTGTTACTTCCTACTTGAATTAAAATGTTGAGTGTCTGGCGCTGATTGATGGGCGAACAGAAGAAGGTCTGAGGTATATACATACATCATCACACGGATCTCTATGTTCTCTACAGATCCGTATATGCTATTTAAATTTAAAGAAAAAAATAATTTAAAAGTTTAGTTATTGGCGTAATTTATGTCGCTCTCAATAAATTTTTGCAATAATCTTATCAACCGTTATGTTAAATTACGGAGTTCTTACGATTTTTGGCGGATTACATATTGAAAACAAGGTTGGTCTACTTTTTTTTCCAAAAGTTTAACCCATCAACTCGAACCAGAACGGACCTTTTTGACCCACTGTTGAAAAAAATGGCTTATAGATGCTTAGCATTTCCACTAAAATATGAAGCGCCAAATTTTTCTAAGGAGAACCGAATGTAATGAAAAATAATACTGATGTTTACCAAAAAGGGGGAACTTTAACTCTTTGTAGAAAACGTTGCGATGCGAGGGAGCAAAACCTTCCTGGGGTTTGATCACCATTAAGGAATGCTAACGTAATTTTCACACAGCCACCTAGTACTTGTATACGTACGTGGAACCCCAGAATAAAATAGTTATTTACGAATGTAAAAATTAGCAAAAAAAAAGTGTTTGCTCTTTATTTAAAGTCTGTTTAAAATATAAATAAAAATACTCAGGAAAATCAACTTGCCTTTGTTTTATCTCTAATAATTGAGGAGTTAGATTTAATGAGTTAGATGAACAGAAGCTGCTTCGGTTAAAACTGCTTTCTGAGATATTGGCGTTAAAGTTTTTGATGTGTTATAACTTTCTTGTTGTTGTAGTATTGGAAAGAGTTGTCTACTGCGTTAGATTACCAGTATTCGACCCTAATTACCCTTAACTGTAATAAACGCTTTCGATCGAAAAATATGATACCTATGTTTTTTCTGAGTTACTCTCTTTTTGGAAAAATAAAGGAGATCATATTCTTGTCCAGTGGCCCAAATTATGAAAAAAAACCTGCTTTAAAAAAGTAATTTTCATTTCGTAAAATTGTGTTTTTAAACGAGTAGTATTTAGTTCCTTCAAATGATGTATTTCAATGTACATACATAATAAAAATTTTGTACAAAATTCCTTAGGCGCCGAACGCCGCCGCCGCCGCCGCGCCGATATTTTCATATCGCGGCGGCGCACAGTGCCGCGCAGGTGGACAAAAATACAAAAATCGACTGTCTTGAAACTTAGATATTTTGATGTCAATTACAGCTAAATCTCCAACTAAGAGAAGTTCATAAGTTATTTTGTGATAAAAACAACTTTCAGCCTCACACACCCCCTCAAAGTACACCTATTTTCTACATACCATTTCATTTCGGCGATTCGCACATAAAAGTGGTCGCAGTTAAAAATTTGTTAAAAATACATTTTTATTCCTAGCAAGATCAACTTTTGCACTTTGATAAAGATATATGCGACAAACCAAAAAATGTATGGTTCATGGAAAAAAAATTTTTACAAATATTTTTTTTTTATTAATAAATAAATATATGATTAAACATACCAAAATCCGAAAATTGGTAAACTTTGGAGACAAAAAAAAAGAACATCCTGAAAGTTCGTGAAATTTTTTTTTTGGTTATGGTAGTTTGGACCCTCTACTAACAGAAACAATCGAAATCTCTTCCAACTTTTTCCAATATTTGAAAATTTTCAATTTTGAAAAAGTGACTAAATGCCTTTTTTTGGTATTATTTTAGCTGATCTATATTTACAATACTTTTTCTGAATGCCCTAAGATCTAAATTTTTGGTTCGCTTTTCAAAAATAAGGTGTTGAATTAAAGCTAAAAGTGCCAAAAAAAAAAATTAAGAGGTACAGGGTGCTTTGAAATGAAAAAAATTATCAGCTAATTAAAATACTTAAATATGCATCACGGTATGGGAGCCAAAAACAAAGGTATACGAAGATTTACATATATATATATATACATATATATATATATATAGAGCAATGACACCAGTTTACAAATAATATGTTAACCAATTCGGGTAAGGAAATAAATGCAATCGAGACACCTTACAGCGCCCAATGATTAGACGAAAGGCGAACAAAAAGAAAATAAAAATAAATAACATACCTATTACTCTTCATCTGCATAAAGAGTACTATTTTGCTTAAGCAGCAAACAAAAACAGCTTGCGAAAATGACAGTACAAATGTATGCACATCAGGGAGGTCCAATTTTTTTATATTTTTTTTTTTTTTGATTGAGTCTTTTTATAATTTTGTTCACCTAAGTAATTACATTACCTGTGCAAAAATTTCAACGTTTTACTATTAGTGGAAAATGTTGCTCAACGCGAGTTCAAAATTTCATGAATAAATTGTATTTGACATATCAAAAATTGCGAAAGGTTAGTAAAATACTTGAAGAACATAGTGCGGAAGAAATTACTTATGCAGCACGGAAAGTAACAAAAAATGAAACGAAGCCTGATAACACTATAAAGAAGTGTCTTGAACCCTTTGAAGCGCTGGCCTTGTGTTTAGATTTAGATTTATCGGAAGAAAAATATAATAGACTACGCAAAGTTGCTAACAATATACATGCGGATTTTTTCCCAAGCACGTATGCGTTAAACCAATTAAAACAAATTTTAGTACCACATATAGAAGCGACGGAAACTTCAGCAGAAGTTAATTTAAAGGCTCTTGTACATATTACATCCAAACACATCTTAGAAGTTTGTGCAGACAAACACCCAGTGGGCAAACTTTCACTTATATGTAAATGGGGAATGGATGGCAGTTCTGGCCACAGTCGATATAAGCAAAAATTCTCCGCGGAAGACCTCTCAGATGAATTTATTTTCGTAATTGCTTTGTTACCACTTAAGTTCGTATAAAATCAATTATTTTCTTATGTATCTTTTCTCTATTTTCCAAATTTTTTCACATTTTAAGGCTCATCGATTCCTCATCAGGTAATGAAATATGGGTCAACCGAACTCCCTCTTCTACGCTGTTCTGTAGACCAGTGAAATTCGTTTATACGAAAGAAGGAAAGGCGGTAATTCATTCAGAATATAATAAAATAATTCAGATGATTAATGATTTGGAATGTGATATTTTTAAAAATAAGAAGGGAATTGCTGAAGTTTCCTACATCATGCATTGCACTATGATTGACGGTGCAGTAGCTAATGTTTTAACAAACACCAATTCCTCAAGCAGATGTTTCATATGTCATGCAAGCCCAACAGAAATGAATAATATTGAACAAAACAAAATACCAAATCCAGATCATTATAAATTTGGGTTATCAACCCTCCATTGCTGGATTCGATTCTTTGAATGTCTATTACACATAGCCTACCGTCTGCCTTTTAAGACATGGCAAGTCAGAATGGAAAATAAGGCTAAATTTATTGAAACTAAAGCCCGTATCCAAAAAGAGTTCAAAATTAAAACAGGTTTGATAATTGACCAAGTCAAGCAAGGGTTTGGAACAACAAATGATGGAAACACAGCTCGAAGTTTTTTTGAAAATATTGACGTTGCCGCAGAAATTACTCGTCTGGATAAGTCTCTAATCCATAATTTTTCTCTGGTGCTAAGAGTCCTCTCTTGTGGAAAACAAATAAAAACCCAAGAGTTTAGTGTTTTGTTGAACGAAACAAGAGAGTTATACCTTAAAAATTATGGTTGGTATAACATGCCAAGTTCAGTGCATAAAGTTTTAGTACATGGATGTGATGTAATTAAATACTTTGATTTACCAATAGGTAATGATTTTAAAGCTATGTTTTCATTTATTTTCTTAATCTGTATTTCCACCTATTTTATCAGGCTCATTATCAGAAGAAGCCTTAGAATGTTCACACAAAAACATAAGAAAATATCGGCTTAATCATTCTCGAAAAACTGGAAGAGTACAAAGCAATACGGATTTAATGACTCGTTTGATATTATCGTCAGATCCATTAGTTGCATTTAAAAGAAATATAAAACAGAGAAACAAATATTTAAAGGGTTCTGATCTCAGCTTTAATAAATACATTGTTGAAAGTGACGAAGCAGACAAAAGCATGGAATCATTTGAATCAGTGATCACTTCCTCCTCTTCTGAGGACTCTGAAACTGAGTGATTATAACAACTAGTTCGGTTTTTATTAACATATTATATGTTATTACCATATAACAGCTATTATTACTTACTTACTTAACAGTGATTATGCTTTATTTTAAATGAAATCAAAAGAATTTTTTTTTCTAAAGGTTAACATGTAAGGAAAACCGACTTAATTTTTCAAATTACCATAGTGTATTCACTTAGGAAGTAAAGTTTAGACGAATTTTGACTATTAAGACTATTTTTCTGAACACTTAGCAACAATGATATGCCATATTTCATTTTTAAATAATCATGTGCAAAAACTCGGTGTTTTTTAATGGGTACCCGTTACAAAAAAACCGATTACTTTCTTAAAATTAGAGTAATATAGACACTTCAGATGTAAAGTTTCAATAAATTCTTACGACTCCTTCCTGTTTTCGTAAACACCACAATCAGCAATGATTATGCCTTATTTGTCTTTCATATAGTAATGTAAAAAAAAATCTTTTTTTTTTAATGGGTACCCGGTACCGAAAAATCGATTTCATTTTTGAAATAAGCATGGCTTAGTCCTTTTAGGTGTAAAGTTTCAACAAGTTCTGAATACTATTTCGGTTTTTATAAACATATGTCTACGATGATTATGAGTTATTTCACCTTTTTATAAAATTGTAAAAAAAAATTTTTTTAATTAAATGGTAACAGATGCTGAAAAACGTTTTTTTTCTTAAATTGCCGTGATATAGTCCTTTCAGGTGTAAAGTTTCAGCCCATTCTGATGCCTCCTTCCACTTATATCAACACATGTCTACAATGACTATTTTCATATAAAAATGCAAGAAAAACTCGGTTTTCTCGAAATGAGTAACCGGTACAGAAAAACCGATTTCATTTTTAAAATTAGAGGGGCATAATACTTCTAGGTGTGAAGTTTCAGCCAATTCTGACCACTCCTTCTATTTTTGTCTATCATTTGTATGGAGTCGCGGCACTGTGCGGCGGCGCGTGAGAAATGACAAAAATCGGCGGCGGCGGCGGCGTATACCTCTAGTATGTACAAGATATATAAAATCAATCGCATAGTCATGAAGAAAAGTTGGGGCTATTTGAAAAAGTGGCGTGGTACCTCCCATACAAACTGAATTTTTCACACTGCGCATCTCTGGAAGTGTTCATGATAGTGTACTGGATTTTGGTATTCATATTAGGGATGTTAATTTTTCGGCTTTTTCCGATCCCTGGATTTTCGGGATGGCGTTCTCACAATCCCAGGATTCCGGGATTAGTCCCGGGATTTAGATATCCATTACTTTTCAACAACTTGAATCGAAAAAATTGCTTCTATATTGTTTGAGAAGCTCTCCTACCATGAAATAAATAATAAATAAATGGGTTTGAAACCTATTTCTTTATTTAAAGTGGCGTTTTTATTTTTTCTCTCTGACCGCACGATTGTTTTTACTATCCATTACTTTTCAACAACTTGAATCGAAAAAATTGCTTCTATATTGTTTGAGAAGCTCTCCTGCCATGAAATAAATAATAAATAAATGGGTTTGAAACCTACTTCTTTATTTAAAGTGGCATTTTTATTTTTCTCTCTGACCGCACGATTTATTTCGAAGGACTTTGTAATTTCAAAGATATGATTAATTCCAAAAATTATTCAAAAAATTCAATGTAGCATAAAATTATGGGTAACAAATGCAATAGGAATTTAAAAAATTTAAATCTTTTGGATTCACAAGGATGAATAGGTAATTTTTAAGCAGACAAAGTTAGAAGAACGAAATTCGGGGATTTTATCGGGTTGATATGGCTTATATAACATGTAATATATAATAACGTATAATTTTTTCAAAAACAAATATTTCGAAATTTTAAGGATGAAGTTTTAAAATTACATTTTCAATATTTACCAGCCCTTCTGCACCAGAAACTTGAATCTGTTTAAATTCTACAGGATTTCAACATTAATTTTATACTCATACTTCTTCTCTAAGCACATTTCTCTGAATTTTTTAAATCATTTTTGAATTACTGACATCAGAGTGAAAAACTAAAAACGCAATTTTACTATATTTGGCCGATGATTTCGCGAATATATTGATATTTGTGTTTAAAATTTACTATCGCGCGGTGTTATATGTATAGCGCAGAACTAGCTCTTTAAGAGGCGGTACTGGTTCTGGATCTATCCCAACGCAATGCTTTCAACTGTCTCTTGTTACATGGCGATGTCCTACGAAGTGGAAATTGCCCCCCTCTGCAAACTTTTGAACTAGTTCTGAACTGGTTCCATTTTAGACACATCTGCGACAATAAGTTTATTAAAAAAAATTCTGATTATTCGATTTTTTATATATTTTTTAGCTTTTTCTGTTCTTTCACATATTGCATTCTATTAAATCTTTATTTATTTTTTTTTATTTTGTTTATATTAAATTTGATCACTTTCTCTTCAATTTTTAAGCGGCACTCTGCAGCCGTTTGCACTAGTTCAGAGATGGTTCTGAAATGTGTAGGGCGGAACTAGCGCTTTAAGAGACTGTCTCTAAATTTTACGGCAGGGGAGCTACAAATTTATTAAAAATATTAATTATTAAATAACAAAAGAAATATAGCCAATACTGGTCAAGAAAAGGAGTTTCTATTATTTCCATCAGTGCAAATTACAAATCCCGAAAATCCCGGGATTACTTGCAAAGAATCCCGGGATTTTCGAGACCTTAAAAAGTCCGGGATCCCGGGATTACCATTCCCAATTCATATATAAAATCAATCGCATAGTCATGAATAAAAATTGGGGCTATTGGAAAAAGGGGCTTGGCACCTCTCACTCTTCTTCTTCTTATTTGGCGCTGTAACCGCCTAAGCAATTTTGGCCGAGTTCAACAAAGCACGTCAGTCGTTTCTTTTCTGTGCCAACTGCCGCCAATTGGAAATGCCAAGTGAAGCCAAGTCCTTCTCCACCTGGTCTTTCCATCTCAGTGGGGGCCTTCCTCTTCCTTTGCTACCACCAGCGGGTTCCGAGTTGAATACTTTCAGAGCTGGAGCGTCGGTGTCCATTCGAACGACATGACCAAGCCAGCGGAGCCGCTGTATTTTAATTTGCTGCACTATGTCCATGTCGTTGTAAAGTTCATACAGCTCATCGTTCCATGGTCTGCGGTACTCGCCGTCGCCAACGCGTAAAGGCCCGTAAATCTTCCGCAAAATCTTTCTCTCGAATACTCCAAGAGCCGCCTCATCGGATGTTGCCATAGTCCATGCTTCTGCGCCATATACCAGCACGGGCATGATGAGTGGCTTATAGAGTGTGGTTTTCGTACGATAGGACTTTACTCCTGAATTACCAATCAGTCAAAAGTCGCACTTGTTGGCAAGAGTGATTCTGCCTTGGATTTCCATGCTGACATTATTATCGGTGTTAATGCTGGTTCTCAAGTAAACGAAATTCTCTACTTTCTCAAAATTGTAGCTGTTAACAGTGACGTGGGTGCCATGGCGCAAATGTGTTGACTGTTTGTTTGTTGACTGGAGATACTTCGTCTTGTACTCGTTTACCACCAGACCCATTCGCTTTTTTCCTTATCCAACTTGGAAAAGGCAGAACAGACTACTGCATATCTTTGGAAGTGTTCATGTAAAGTACTCGAACATAGTCACGAAGAAAAATTGGGGCTTTTGGAAAAAGGTGCGTGGTTCTTACCACACAAACCGAATGTTTAATACTGCATATCTCCGGAAGTGTTCATGATAGAGTACTAGAGTAAATTGGGGCTATTTGAAAAGAGAGCGTGGCGCCTTTCAAACGCACTGAAACTATAACTTATCTTTGTATGCATATACACTTTTGCTAGGTTATTTAAGACGACTATGGAAATATGCCTTCTGACAACCACCAAACCGTAATATTAGAAAATAAATGCGTCACTGAAAATCATGAACGTGAACTGTTGGTGAAAATGTTGTTATATTAAATTTATATTTTAAAGCTAGCATTTTTTTAGCTGTGTAGGGTGATTTAAAATTTGATCAAGTGAAATAGTGACATCATGCGAGAGCTCCCTTCACTCAGAAAAGACTGGACAGATTTAGATGAAACATTTGGAATACTTGTTTACTTCTGAGTAAGGTAAATTTAAATTCAATGTTGGCGTTTTAACGCCATGCGGGTTCACTAGTATGTACATATTTAGTTAAGCTTGAGCACTCTTTTTGACTGCAGCCTATGTGACACCATTACACTGTGCGCTCTTGACTGAAGTGAAGTGCATGAGAATTTGCTGCTACATCAAGAAAATCCCATCCGCTAGATTGGAATTGTGCGATTATTATGATTGTTGTTATTATAACCGTGTTTGTTCCAATTGTTTTTTTTTTGTTTTTTCATCTACTTTAAAATTTCTTTTCACA